CGATCCTGAAACCGCCCAGAACAGTGGGGAACCCTAACCGGAGAGTCAGATTCAACTCAGAACCGGAGGTCGGTGATCAGTCAGCTACTAGATCATCAGTAGCAGAGAGAACCAAAGCCCGGCGGATGACAGAACTCTCTAGCGGTAAAAGAATACCCATTTCTTACCGCGACAATGGAGAGTATAAAACTACCCTGCGAAAGAAAAACCCAGCTGTGCCCGATCGCGTCACACCAGGTGCCATGCCAAGAAAGACCAACCCCGTAAACCCCAATACCCTGACAGAGGTTAATCCAAACACCACTGAGAACGAGGCCACACCGACACCCTCAACAGAAAGATCTATCTCGGAAGAAAACCCTAATATCTTGGAAGCGCCCAATCCAGAAGAACCCGGGAATACCAGTGACCGATCTCGGGAAGAGACTCAAAACCAGGCAAAATCTACAGAGTCCTCGGAAGAAGCAGATATTTCATTAGAAGGAGAACCCTTGGAAGACGACGTGTTCGAGCCTGACGATGGCCATCAGTCAGGGATACTTGACCAGGGGATAATCGAATCCGAAACTCTCACCGAGGAACAGGATGACGAATTGGAGGAACCCATATCAGCCGNGGGATGACGAATTGGAGGAACCCATATCAGCTGATATGGAGAAGCCAAGAGGGCCAAGAGGGCTAGAATTGTTCGAGTCATTCCTCAAAAAGGCAGAAGAATCTCACGATGAAACCCCCCCCCAATGGGACTACTATCAACCTCCGACCCTCTACCAACTGAAGCGACCAAGTTTTTTGGAGGAACTGACGCCTAGTTTTCTGGAGGAACTGGACGCCTCTACCCGACTTTTCGACAAAAAAATCGCGAACTTCGAAGAGCGATCCAAACCCTTGATCAACCTAACGGATGAACTCCAGGAGGATAACAGAGAGTTATCGGGGGCGGGANGAAAAAATCGCGAACTTCGAAGAGCGACCCTTGATCAACCTAACGGACGAACTCCAGGAGGATAACAGAGAGTTATCGGGGGCGGGAGAAAGAACATCTAAGATATCCTATTATTCAGAAGAAAGGCCTCCATCTGCAGTTAGTACACACTCTTTCCGCCCCACGCAAGTTAGAAGTGAACCCAGACCAATGGAAGAAGATAAGATAAGCATTCCACAGGACGAGTCGTACCATCCCGCAGCAAACATTCAGGAAACTAGAGACGGATTGACCTTTACCGGAGGAAATCTCGTACATTTCCTGGCAGCAGATGCCGAACCTACCAAACAAAATACGAAGCTGCTCAGAGACCTGAACCTGATCAACCTAGAACACATCAAGAAACTCAAGCCACAGCCAGGGCAGATCATCGTAACTAAATGTGGAAAATTCCACACATTCACGCTCATCGTAAAACAATGGCATTTTGAGAAAGTTAAGAACAGGAATCTCAAAGTCCTTGAGAAAGACTCAACGACTCGGAGGTCAATATCACATTATGTCACGGAACCATCAGGATGCCTCCCGATGCATTGAGACCGGAGATCATCAAAGAATGCCACGAAACATTGCCAGCAGGCCATAAAGGCATCGTAAAAACTTTTAATCGAATCAGAGAACGGTTTTACTGGCCAGGTATGAAACAGGAAGTCGAGAGGTTCATCAAGAAATGCAGAACTTGCCAACTGGAGAAAATACGACGAGTGAAATTCCGTCAGCCGATGCTGATCACAGAAACACCCAGCGAATGTTTCGAAAGAATCTCGATCGATACCGTTGGCCCACTTCCGACTACATCCAAAGGACACAACCATATCCTGACCATCCAAGACAACTTCGCAAAACATTGCGTGGCCGTACCTCTGAAAGACATCAGGGCCCACACTATTGCACATGCGATAACAACAAAGTACGTAGCGCAATACGGCTGCACACGAGTGATTTTGTCAGACAAAGGAACCAGCTTCCTTAGTAAGCTCTTCGTACAACTAGGGAAGCTCCTCAGATTCCATCACATCACTACATCTGGGTACCGACCCCAATCCAACGGAGCCTTAGAGCGAAGCCATCACGTCTTGGCAGAATACTTGAAGGCGTATACCAACGAAGTTTATGAATGGGATGACCTTCTACCTTTTGCCATGCTGTCCTACAATACCACCGTCCATAGTGCTACCAATTTCACTCCATTCGAACTTCTTTATGGAAAACCTGCTAGACTACCCTCAAACATCAGCGAAGAAGACCAGAGATCCGAGACGTACTCAGGGTACATGGTCGACTTGGTTACAAAACTAGAAAAGATTCACGAAATCGCCTTCCAACAGCTTCAACATGCCAAATTCAATTCCAAACGTATTTACGATCAAAAGGCGAGACCTTTGGAGCTGAAGATAGGAGAATTTGTTTACGTCGAGAAAGAACCGAAATTAGGCAAACTAGACCAAGCCTATACAGGACCCTAGGAAATAGTCGACATAACCTCAAAAGGCAATGTCTACCTGGAAACCGAAGACGGGCATCGGTTCATGAAACATCCAAACAAATTAAAACCGTGCGAAGAATAGAACTGACAAAAAAAAAAGAAAAAAAAATTAGAATTAAAAAAATATTCTTTATTTTCAATGGTATAAAATTATGCCTGCTTTAATCAAACGAAAGAAATTACATGTACGAGAATGTTCACACAAGCGAAAACAATTTCTCAAGAAATATCGCGAAACCGAGCAGGCGCGAAAAGCAAAGACCGATACTGGCCAGACACTGGTGCCAACTGTCCCAAAAATGATCTCATCCTGCGGGGAAGACTCTCAGGATGATATAACTTCGAAGTGGCAAAATAGTGGTCCACCCCTTCCCCTCTAAAAATAGGTCGTTCTCGTACCACTCGGAGAGCAGGCAACCGTTGGAGACCCTGGCNAAAAAAATATAAAAAGGGTTTTCTCATCTCCATAAGGGATAACCAAGCAAATCTCCTGTTGCAGAGATATGGAGAGACCGGAAAATCACCAATTGACTCCCGAAACCTGGACCACTGTGTATATTGACGGATCATGCTCCCACGACGGAACTGCCGATGCCACTGCAGGAGTAGGAGTTTGGTTTGGGAATAGACATCCTTTGAACACTTACAAAATGCTTACAGAAGAGCGTGCTACTAATATCGTTGCAGAAACCGCTGCAGCTTTCGAAGCTTGCAAACTCTGCTTGAGGCACGATATAAATCACGTCAAGTTAATAACCGACTCTAAATACCCCATCAGCTGCATGACAGAACATCTCCCAAAGTGGAAGGCCAACGGATGGCTGAACGCGAAAAATCGACCGGTCGTAAATCAAAAACTGTTGAAGGAACTCGATGCGTTCCAACAGCAACTAGAGATCCAATTCGAATATACACCTGGGCATCAAGGGATTTACGGCAATGAGAAGGCCGATGAATTAGCAAAAATAGGGTCGAAAATCTACCCATCAACCTAGACAGAACCAAAGTTGTCAAATCCGGAAAACTCACTCTATAACCCTAAAGACCTCAAATAATTACTAATCTATTCATTCTTTTTTTTTTTGGACCCACCAGTCTTGACTACAAAATGAAGGACATCGGCCTAATTCTCGTCACCTGGATTGCCATATGGCCATTCATGAAAGCCATGGAAACAAATTGGGTCTATCAAAACCACCCTATCCCTCACAATCCTGGGATATATTACGAGAAAATCGACCAAGTCAGAACTATCAACCGGAATTGGCGACTCTTGATGATCATTGACGTACAAGGGCTATCCGGCCAATCACTCCCCGGACAAGACATATTGGAAAAAGTGTTTGAAGACTGCATGAAGAGCCAAAAATAAAAGTTCTGCCACCAGACTTTAGGGTTCGACAGGATAAAAGGGCTCGACCGAGAACTAAAACATATTCAAGACCATGCACGACAAATCCTACAAACAACACGTGAAGAACCCCGTGACCACCACCGTTCCAGCAGAGCACCGCTCTTAGGTTTTATCGGAAACCTCGCCAGGGATGTGTTTGGGACCATGGACTACAACGATCATGAACACATCACCAAGGAAATCGATCGTCTATACCAAGACCAACGACAGATCACCCACCTAATCGCGAAGTCAACCCACCTCATTCAAGCAGAAATAAACATGATGAAAGAAATCAACAACAAAAACATCATAAAGATTAGACAAGCAGAACAACAGCTCGACCTCTTGACCAAGAATTCGAACAACATGGTCAACTACATCAACTCACTAGAGTACACACAACATCTATCACAGATTGCAATCGACGTTGAGTACGCAGCCAGGAAATACCTCGATACCACGCACAAGGTTGTACAGGCAATGGAAGACGCTAAACACGGGAAACTGAACCCCATGTTAATCAACAATGAACAGATTAAAAGTGCCGCACAGGAAATAGAGCGGGCTGCCGGAGACAGCATCTTCCCCCTCAGCAAAGCCAAACTCGACATTAACCTCTTAGCACAAATCAGCAAGATGGAGACCGGGTATCACTCAGGAAAATTCCTAGTCATCCTGAATATTCCATTACTAGCCAGGGAACATCTTGACCTGTACAAGACGATATCCTGCAAGGTGCCCCATACTGTTCAAGGGAACCGATCGGTAGCAGCATACATTCAACCTGAAAAAGAATACATAATGTCATCAATGTTCAGCACAAAATTTGCACTCATCGACGAAAATTACCTCAGAACATGCATCCCTTTGGAAAACTGCTTAGCGTGTCCCCGCGGAATACCCCTGCAAAAGCTTGGGACAACCCCAACTTGCGAATATCAACTACTTACCAACTCCGATCTCGAACCCACATCAGAAGTATACAATAACTGCAACATACGGGTTAGCAAGAACTTGGACACTCAGTGGACCAAACTGACAATCGGTGGTGAATGGTTGTATTCTGCTCTGGAACCTGAACGATTAGAAATAACCTGCTTGGGTCAAGAAGTTCCACCAATCATCATTAATGGTACCGGGCTACTACAGCTAAACCCTAAATGCTCTGCTGAAACCAAAACCATCATCCTGGAAGGAACCGGTCTAATCGAGTCGCAACTACCAATGATTCACGGGCTACCGACCACCATGAACATCACCAAAATAGCCCCAAGTCTGAGTGAAACTCCTAGAAGGATGGGAATGTTGACTCAAGTCGATCATGATATCCTTCCGAATGTAGAAAACTCGCACACTTTTGATGAATCCCTGCAACAAATAATTGATGCTGCCGAAAAGATAGGACTTCATCATCAGGAAGAATATACTCACCAATTATTCACGGCCGCCAACCTTGGGATCACCGGAATTCTAACGACAATCGCAATTGTCAGTGGAATCATGGCTTACAAAAGGGGTGTAAACCTCTTCTCTTTGCTGAGCTGTCGTTGCCACAGAAGAAAATCAAAGACGGCCCGAAAGAATACAAACCATCAAGGAGCCCAGCAGGACCCAGAAAGATTGGAGGAAATACCTCCAATGCCAATCGCTACACCTGTAAGAAGAGCTCCCCCTCCTCCAAACCGAGCGCTGCCGGCACTCCCTGCCCCAGAATTGCCAGCACCCCCATCTGCCGCTGAAGAGAGAGCCCTCCAAATCTTACCATCCGAGGGACGGCCTAGGTCAGGAGTGACCATCAATTATATCTAAAGGGAGTATATACCTACCCTGATGTATGTCGTATATGAATATGGATGTGCTGGTATATTAGTACGTACGTACTCACGTATTTGCATATACACGCATATATATTTCTATATAATTCTTCTTTTATATATTCCTAACCATATATTTCTCTATATAGTTTTCATGAAAATTCTGAGTATCCGACTCAACTCTCTTCAATAATAATTCATAAATCAATAATAAGGGGTGAAAACTAGGAAATAATGGTTATAACAAAAAAAAAAAAATTAGAATTAAAAAAAAATATTCTTTATTTTCAATGGTATAAAATTATGCCTACTTTAATCAAAAGAAAGAAATTACATGTACGAGAATGTTCACACAAGCGAAAACAATTTCTCAAGAAATATCGCGAAACCGAGCAGGCGCGAAAAGCAAAGACCGATACTGGCCAGACACTGGTGCCAACTGTCCCAAAAATGATCTCATCCTGCGGGGAAGACTCTCAGGATGATATAACTTCGAAGTGGCAAAATAGTGGTCCACCCCTTCCCCTCTAAAAATAGGTCGTTCTCGTACCACTCGGAGAGCAGGCAACCGTTGGAGACCCTGGCACTGCTTACATTTGCCTAAGAAAAGTTAATCGCGTCTTCAATTACTCCGCTCGCAAAATTTAGAAATTCTCCTCCTCGCGCGTAAAACCCACCTCTGGACAAAGCAACCTCCACACCTTTTTGCATGAGCAGGAAACCAGGGATAAAATTCTCTAGGACTAGGCGGACGGGCCACGGTGCGGACAACCTTTTTCCCGCATTTATCACAAGCAAATAACTTGTCCAGACCCAACACTCGTAATTTATCCCATTCGACATCGCACTTGTCCAGAATGTCACAAACTAAGATTCGGTTAATTCGCTTTACTTCTGTCATGAAAACTAGTCCATGTTGGGAATTTTCGTTCCGATCAGACCGTTCTAAATCCAGAAATGCATGAATCATCTCATGCAGGATGATCCGCACTAATACTGACCGGCACAAACCCGCCGAAAACATGAACTCTTGCAAGTAAATCACTTTGTTCATGAAATCGGTATATCCAAAACAATCTTTCCTGCGCCTACTATCTCGGCGGAAGGTATATCCCCGAACCGCTCCACCGAAAAACTCCACATTCAAGAACCGAATCAATTTAAATATGTCTGGTTTATCTCCCAGCACCATCCCCACAAACGGTAAAAGCCCCGGAGGAATGGGAACACCCCCAGGGCCCGGTTCATCACACCTCCGCAAAAGGACCCTCAACTGTTTGGGGGCATTCCTCACTCGCCGACCCTTATTAGGCATCTTACACGCAAAAACAAACTCTGTCACAAGATTACTGGACTGAACCGACACCTCTGACAGTTAGCGACGGTCTGAATAAAAACTCTTAGACATAATGACAAGACGGTTATGAGAAAGATTTGAATCGAGACGAATGATAAGAATTGAAACCTGAGGATCCTGCACAGCAACACAAAGGCAACACACGATACTCTGATAAGCACCTAATCACCAGAGAGGCTACTCAATAACCCTCGGAACCAAGTAGAAGCTCAATTCCGCAGTAGACATTCCAAGAAATCTACAAAGTAATCATTCCGGAACAAAAGTTTGTCACCCTAAAATCTCAAACCTTATCTCTTCTTAGAGGAAACTTATAAATCACGAATAATCAAGTTCACTTCTCAAAATCAAAATCCCACAGGAATGAGATAATGATTCTGAGCGGGGGCTGTGATGTCCAAAACCTCTACAAGATTGGTTTTGACACGATCATTCTATATTAATAAAGCCAAACTCCGTGAGCCATAAGCTCAAAACTGCAACATCAGCAGCGCGCAAGACAAAACACCGTTGAATGCCCTGTTCATGGTCACGGATTGACGCCAATCGGACAATGAATCAGCAGCAAAAGAATCACGCGCTGCCAAAACCGCTGAAATGACAGTTTCTACCCCCCGTTAATAAAGAGTAGGAATATCACGCGATGATCTCCACCAATCAGGTGAGAGTTCTGCCACTCCCAAAAACCAACGCGCTCTGGAAAGAAGAGCGACGAAGCCAGTTTTGCAACCAACCGCAGAACGTTTGACTTGACTTGGTGGAAATCAATTGCGGAATTGATCAGATCATTTCGGACCTCCCATACTATCACGCGAAAATTAATCGGTATAGTGCGCGGTAAACTATTCGAAACAGTAATAGCCGAACGGTCGAAATTGAACAGGGACATGGAGTCCTTTAATCAAAAGTAGCAATATTTCTTGCATATTAAGAGGACTGGTCAAGCAGTGCTGTGTGTGTGAGCATTCTCAACCAAAAACAATAACTGAAAATCTGTGAAAATTAACATTAAGCAAGTGGATGAACGCGATGCGATAAGAAGTATCCATAAAAGAATCAAAGAAACTCCGATTCTGGTGGAGAAGGAAGATTGTATCCCCGAAGGATCCACAACTGGGAACTCAAGGAATAATTCTAAACAACATTAACCTTTGTGAGTTACAAGAAAATACTCTCCAAAATTCTGAAACCCAAATGGATCAACCTACAAAGTTTCTCAGGAACTCTCTAGGGATTTCCATTCCATTAATTAATTATTTTTATTTGCAAGTAAATCTAGTATGATCAAGAGGAATTCCAATTGTAATTAATCGAGAATATAAAAATTAATATCTACTTTAACCGTAACTCGAAATCTTTAGATTCCATCATCCTAAACTTCCTCCCTCATTCCTCATCTTTGATCTATAGTTTTCAACCAGGTAAGAACGAAAAAGCAAACCTAGCGTCGTGTAAAAATAATCTCCAAAAATATAAGAATATTTAGCTCCATTCTGCATTGCAACTTTAGCTTGTCATATTGTTATACTAAAGATTCTAGCTCCTATTCTCCGCACTTTAAAGGTGTCCTCCGACGCTGAAACGCCTCCGGACATAACAATAAGTTTATTAGAAATTCATCCAGTTTGTAGTCCAAATTTTAAATTTTTGAGTCAAGAGTTATTTTGAATAAAAGGGTTAATGTGCTCTCCTAAGCACTGGTGTTTGGATTTATTCACAAATAAACCTTCAATCCAATTATCCTATCATTGAACGTGTCAACATCGATGGAGTCCTCATCAGAGGTTTAGCGGCTAACGGATCCACACTTGAAAGTTTGGCGCTCAATATTCCAAATGGCGCTACTGTCCTCCTAGTATCTTGGATAGGACATAACAGAAACTGGCTCCGATACCATGTACCATGATGCCCGTCATGGTATCATGGTATACCATTTTTCACGCGAGGAATGAAGGGAATATCCTAAACATTCATTATCTTCGGATAACTTTATGAAATATTTTAATGCTTTTCTTTCCTGAAAATTGCATTGATTATATGGCTTCTATCAGCAGCTGAAATTTTTTCAATGAATCTCCCATGACAATAAAAAAAGTTGGTTTAAAAAAAACGTCCGTCTCTGTCCAGTACGAGTTTTAACTTATCGCTTGTCATTATTGATGCCGTTTGACCATGGAGAATAGAGCCCAGGAGGTCGAACATTGGTTACGATAATGCGCCTGAAACCCGGTTTCAAATACCTCGAGGGCGCTAGTGTCACATCACTATCGGCCGCTTGGAGGGGATATATGGGACGGGTGGTAGGGCGCATACTGTTTTGCAAGCCAAGTTGTCAACATTCTTTATTAGAAATAGGCAAGAAAGAAATGCTATTGATTTACATAAATAAAGTTTGTAACCGGAGAACAAAGAGAATGAGTTCTCAGCCATTGATGAGGACGAGGCCACTGAGTCACCTGAATTTAAATGGATCTGACTGTCTGACCCTCTCGCGAGAGGAGATGTTGCGAATAGATCAGATTCTAATTGGACTTCTGGCTCCAATAAGTCTGATCTGATGTGAATTCGATCGTCTGCCTCGTTTGATGCATCTATGGCTAATTTGGAAGCCTGAATTTCTAGTTGGTCGATAATGACATCTGGTATGCTTGGCTCTCCTTTTCTCACCTCTTGGGGATTCGCTGGTCCAATGTTCTCTTTCTATAGATTGACAAAACATAAAGAATTGAAAAAAGGTTTCAGAATACTTCATTTATAATGCTAATTTCTTAATTTGATAGTAATTTTACCATGGAAAAAAAACAAAAAAGATGACTAATTGCATTTATTTTTCTAGCTAGTTTTAGATTAATTTTCGTAGAACAACTTGTTACTTACCTCACAGATATTGTCTTCAGGACATACGATATTGCCTTGGTTATTTTGTGGAATTGCACTTGGCTTTATGGTGATTCTTCCTCGGTCCATGGTGTNTCATAAAAATACTAACGGTTTGTGGAAATCCAAACATTGCTTTATTTTGTACCCCATGTTGTTTATTTCTCTTTTTATCACTTGCACTTCCCGAATTACAACCGGTGAATGAGCACACACTCCTCATACGGCGGGGGGGGCCGTTCGTACTTCCACAACTGTACACCTCCACGACTGTCCACAAACTTGGTGAAAAATGTGAGGGAACAACTGTACATAACCACGACCGTACACCGTCCTTGCGGTCGGTCAAACAGTGTCGGTAGAGTAGAAATTGCATTTGTTTTATTTGCAGTCGATATCAATTATGGATGGCGCCATGTGTCCCACTATAGCAGAAATGATCGTCCGCGATTCTACCGGGTGTCCACTATTAATTACACGCATATGTATCCCAAGTAGACTCTTTTGAATTAACACTGCGTAGCGCAGTCTCATTTGAATTGAGATATCAATCTCATATCATTCAATTGTTCAATAAAATTGAAAATGCAAATAAACTTACTGTGAATTTAATGGGAACCTCGAATTACATTTGTAATCGAATTACTTGAAAATTACTAAATCTATGTGATGTATAAAATGTCTTTGGGAGAGATTTGATTACACTGCGTATATGGGTGGAGGGGGTGGTGAGCGGTTAGAGTTGAATAATAATATTAAGTATTTTTTATAACATTTTTTTCTCTTTTGTAGCAGCGGGTGGAGGGGGGATGGGTGAGGGGTTAGAGTTAAATAATAATATTAATTATTTTTGATATTTTTTTTTGGAACAGAGGGATGGAGGGGGAGGGGACGATGGGGTTAAAGCCAAACAATAATAATAATAATTTTTTTGACAGAGTAGAGAATTGGGGTCGGGTGCATCACCGGGCCAACTTTCTACTCTCTACAGAAGTAGAGAGCAGAGAGTTCGCCCGGTGACTCACCCGCCCCAACTCCCTACTCACTACAAAAGTGGAGAGTAGAGAGTTGGCCCGGTGGCGCACCCTACCCCAATTTTCTACTCTCTCAAGAAGATAATAATTATTATTATTATTTGACTCTAACCCCTTTGCACTATCCCCCTCCATCCTTCTGTTCCAAAAAAATACATCAAAAATAATTAATATTATTATTTAATATTCCAACCCCTCACCGCCCCCCCACCACCCCTCTGCTCCAAAACAGAAAATTTTTTTATCAAAAATAATTAATAATATTATTTGGCTCTAACCCCTTTGCCCCCTCCCCCTCCTCTACTCTGTTCGAAAAGAGAAAAAATTGTTATAAAAAATAATTAATAATATTATTTGGTTCTAACCCCTTCGCCCCCTTCCCCTCCGCCCCCCTGTTCCAAAGAAAAACATCAAAAATAATTAATAATATTTTTTGGCTTTAAGCCCTTCGCCACCACCCCAACCGCCACTCTGCTCCAAAAGCGAAAAAACATTATAAAAAATAATTAATATTACTATTTAATATTCTAAGCCCTCCCCCCCCCCCCACCCGCCGCCGCCCTGCTTCAAAAGAGAAAAAACGATATAAAAAATAATTAATATTATTATTTAATATTCTACCCCCTCACCGCCCCCCCGCCGCCCCTCTGCTCCAAAAGAGAAAAAACATTATAAAAAATAATTAATATTATTATTTAATATTCTACCCCCTCACCGCCCCCCCGCCGCCCCTCTGCTCCAAAAGAGAAAAAACATTATAAAAAATAATTAATATTATTATTTAATATTCTAACCCGTCACTGCCCCCCCCCAACCGCCACTCTGCTCCAAAACAGAATTTTTTTTTATCAAAAATAATTAATAATATTATTTGGTTCTAACTCCTTCGCCCCCTCCCCCTCCGCCCCTCTGTTCCAAAAGAGAACAAATTGTTATAAGAAATAATTAATGATATTATTTGGCTCTAACCCCTTCGCCCCCTTCCCCACCGCCCCTCTCCGTCAAGAAAGAAAGAAATGTTATCGAAAATATTTAATGTTACTATTTGGCTTCAACCCTTAAAAATGGAAGTTTTCACCCTTTCCCAAACGAAATAAAAATTATTAACGAGTTCCCCAAACAATTCCTAGTAAATGTATATAATTTTGGTCTCCTTCTGTAATACTCGTTCGCCGAATAAACGTATTTTCTAATTTAATTAATAAAGATAATGATGTCCTAAACATCCCCAATCCATTCCCAAACGATTATCATCAACGAAAAATAATAATTAATCTTTCGTCGACCGAGTATATAACGCTGACTTAACCGACCAAGTCGGTAATTCAACGCTGGCGCCATCTCCCGACATCCCCCCACCTGGGCTTTTATTCCCATACATGACATTATCGATTATTTATTATAATTGATGGAAAATAACAAATTAAACGCTGTCAATTAAAATAAATAATTCATCAATCAACTTTTTCATCATTTTTTCATTGAATTTCAGCCGTTTTCACCCAAAACTAGCATGCCCGCAAGCATACCCGCTCCATCCACGCTACTCCGGGCATCCTAAATGGCCAGGGTGATTTTCTATATCTTGGCGAAGAGTTTGTCTGATGTCAGTGAGGATTTCATCTCGAAGATCGATTCGATTTGAGCTGTTTCATCTGGTTGGTGAATTTCGTCGCCGCTGGGTGCTGAATGTGGGTGGAAGCGGGAACTGAGTAGACCAAATTGAGGGAGTCCATCTCTTGCAGCGTTTGTCCTTCGTCTCCCCCTGTCAGCCATTTTATTTAATTTATTTATTCTTTACTCACTCAGATTTTTTTTTTCATCCATTTTCCACAATTTATTTCAAAATCCAAGGTTCGTGTTGTTCTGTTGCAATTGGTGAGGAATCCGTGACTTTGTTCCGTCGAGATGGATGGCTGGTTTGACAGTTGTGTAAGTACAGGGGCCTAAATATAAGGGTCAAAATCTAAGGCTTCGAAATTAAGGGTTACAAGGGTCAAAATCTGAGAGTCATAAGGGTTAAAATACTGAATATAAAAGTCAAAATCGAAAGTTCAAAATTTTAGGTTCATAAGGATTAAAATTTAAAGGTCATAAGAGTCAAATGACAATCGTCTAAATATAAGGATAAAAATCCAAGGTTTCGATTGTAAAGATCAGAAGGGTCAAAACCCAACGCTCATAAGGGTCCAAACGCAAGTCTCTGAATATAGGGGTCAAAATCTAAGGTTCAGAATTTAAGCGTTACATGGGTCAAAATCTAAGGTTCAGAATTTAAGGGTCACACGGGTCAAAATCTATGTTATAAGGTTCAAAATACAAGACTGAATCTAAGGGTCAAACTCTGAAAGTTCGAATTGAATCGTCACAAGAGTCAAAATCTGAGGGTCATATGGGTCAAAATACAAGCGTCAAAATATAAGGGTCTGAATATAATGGTCAAAATCTAAAGGTCAAAATCTAAGGGTCAAAATCTATAGGTCAAAATTTAAGGGTCACAAGGGTCAAAATGTACGGGTCTAAATATGAGGGTCAGAATATAAGGTTCCAACTTCTGAGGTCAAAATCTAAGGATCAAAATTTAAGGGCCACAAGGGTCAAAATCTAAGTGTCAAATTGTAAGGGTCAAAATCTAAGGATGCGAAAATGAAGGTCAGAAGTAGTTAGGATTGAACCCTCCCCCGCCCGCGCCGCTGTGACAATCAGAATTGAATAATTGAAAATAATAGCAATCAGATCGATCAACGGTCTTAGATTTTAAGACCAATTTAAGTATTTAACCATCCGGACACTCCGATTTTACGATTCGGACGTATCGGTCTTAGAATAAGACCGGAGTTTTTGCAGTGCTTCTGGGTGATTCGCTGACCGTTGACCGTTGACCCGAAGTGTCCCGATTAATTTCGAAGATTGCCCAATTATTTGAGCGCTAAAATGATAGAATGATAGCTACGTTTCAAACAAATAAAAAATGTGTATTTTTACAGATCAAACATGTTTTGTTTGAAACTTTTTTCCCTATCTATTACCGTTTCCGAAATATGATTTTATAAAAAGTTGAATTGTTAATAACTTTTGTTTGCATCAATTCTCCTCAACACGACCTTCAAATTCGTATTCTACTCTCCAAAAAACATCGAAAAACACCAAGTCAACCAGTAACCCAAAAATGTACACCAAATGGTTGATAGTGTATGGACATTTTGATTTCACAGATTTTGCATGATAGAGTTAACATAAAAATCTGGAAAAATTTTGATATCAATTAAATTCAATCATATAAAAAAAAATCGGAAGTAATGGAAATATCTTTATTGAGGCTTCATTACAGATTCTGCTCTACATTTTGCCTATGGATACTCACGCAGATGTAGTCAATAGTCATTCTAAGAAATGTTCAATGTTTCCACCATTTATATGAAGCCATAACTCCAGCCAACGTCGAGAGGTTCGCCCGATAGAACGAAGGAAGTCAGCTGGAATGCTCACAATCATACTTCTGATGCGCCTTTGCAAATCTACAGGTAATCTTCGTATCACTAGAACTGGGCGCGCGCTTCGCGCGCCTATCATCCGCCGGGAGGCTCCAGATATTACGGTATCATTATTATCATTATAATTATTATTTATTGAATCCCCTGTTAAAAAATCGAGTGTAACGTTTTGTATAGAAAACGTTCAATCAACAAACAGATTGCTTCATTTGTTATTCTCCAATTATAATTTTATGATAAAAGGAATTAATTGAATACATGATATACTTCAAGATATCATTTACCTCTCATAATTTTTTTTTTTCTAAATGATTGAAATGAAAATGATTTAATATTTTAATCGTAGTCTTCGTTGTAGTTATCTTCACCCTCTTGATGAGATTTTTTTTGCTTCTTATATTTTCCCTTTTTCGATGTTGATGGAGAAGATTCATTGTCATCAAGTTTTTGTCTCTTTTTATTAGTATACTTCACGCCAGAAGTTGAGGGGGTGCCATTATTCACATCATCATTGACAGACAAATTTAAAAATTCATTTGCCAACAGTAAGGACCTCTTGTTCATAGTTGGATCATCTATTTTCTCCATATCGGATATTTTGTTCATCAAAAAGTAGGAATTTTCTGAACAAAAAAATCAAATTTCAAGATTTAGAACATGATGATTCAGTAAAGGAGAATTTTTCCTTTTCAGGCTATGTACCATTATTGTTGTTCATTTTTCCTAAGAGTTGTACATGGTCTCCTATTTTGAATGGATTAGAGAAGTTCTCCATTAGCAGTATCTGTACTGGTAGTTTCAATTTATTTTCTGCAATGCATCCCTGGGGATGTAGTATCTTTTTTACTATTTTTATGTTTATTTATTGCGAAGTTAGTTTTTATGAAGCCAGTGATTCCTATCGAAGAATTCCTCAATTATTTTATTATAATTTTTCGTTAATTATTATAATTGTGGAAATTGTTTCACTCAAATACTCACGAATTGTTTTTCTCGTAGGAATTTTCAGTATAGATAAGTCGAAGGTTTGAATTTCATCGGGTTTTATATGGTGTTTCCCTAACATGGTTATTTCAGTGTTTGAGTTTATCGTCAGCTCTATTGGTAAATTACCGATATTGTATCGTTCATTCGTTGGTCCAGCAGTGGTACCATTAATATGCAGGATCTATAAATAATCAAATGATAATCATTTACTTTAGTTTTCAGAGATAACTTCGTTAGTTGATTTAATATTCTATTTGAAGATTACCGAATGGGTTTTAATTAGAGATTCCACTCGTCTAGCTTGATCATTCCAATGCGACGATTTTCATGGATGTATCATCATTACTGATACTGAAGGACAGAACATAGATATCTCCTTTCACGAATTGAGGTGCTTCGGTTCTATCAACAAATCTTATGATTTCGCTGGAATTATTCAAGGAAAGAGATTATGTAGAATTATATCATGAGGTATCAGAGAAAAAAAGAAAAAATTCTGGCTCTGCAACTCTAAATTGGGGGAAAAAAAAGATGCAACTGTATCCAGCAGTCGCTAAAGTATGTGTAAACATCTTGGCACGCGATATCAAAATTGAAACGTAGAGTTCCGATGATTTTATTTATCCTTTTTTTAGAAAAACATGGGCGATATCTCGAATCGAAAATGAGACTTCGAACATGGCGGATATATCGAACGAATGGAGAAAGTAAGATGGTTTTCATGAGTACAATCGGCTTGCGGCGCATTTTCATGAGACCCGTCAAATAAACAGAAGAGAATTGAATACCACACTGAGAGAAAAACAAGCACGTTATCGAACAAGTCTTGTTTGGGCCAACAAAATCGCTAGTTGAAAATTGTCAAAAAGAATTTGTTTGGTTCGAATTTGAAAGTCTCAAATATGAATAATTGGTCTGCTTTCGACAGCAACGAAATATTTGGCTCAGGAGGCGGATAATTCACACCAGACGGTGCCTTTTCAGGATGAAAATATCTCGTATAGAGGAAAATTTATCAACAAATATTTTATCCCTAAGTTACAAGATTGACTGGCTATCATATCATTATTATTGTTTCATTTAAGGGTTCATTTCTTGTCTGTGATTATTAGACAGCCGAAACGAAAAACTACTATCCCTTGTTCCGCATAAAACAAAGATTTTTCGTGTGCAAAATACGTTTGAGAGTATCGAATAATGAAGGAGTAGTGCTAGAAATGACACTTCTTGCGTGTACAGGGAATGCAATTTTTTTTTAACTACTAAATCTATTTTTGCGATAAAAATTTTTTATTCCGGCGCACTCTCTGTATGTTTGGCACAAAAAAATCTTTTTTGATAATTTTCAAACAAATATTTTCTTGGCACAAAAAGACTTGTTTGAGAACTTCATTGAACAATCATTGATTTTTCAATGAACGCTTGAATTTCCAAACTTTTCATGAAAATTGAACATCAAATACAATTCAATTTTCAATAGATTGAGAGTTTAGAAAAGTTGTTGCCTGAATTTTCAAAATTTTCAACGTTTTTCAGTGCCGCCACATATGAAAAAATCTTGTAGAAATTTCCTATACGGATTGCGTATAAAAATGCTATAGAATTTCCGTATGCGATATTCGGATATTTTTATACAAATATTCTCTATACAAATTATTTCTATACATATTTTTTACATAAATTTTTGTTTTCATACGAAAGATGTCTAAACGCTCCAGAGAAAAATGTAGAGAAATGTCACAATTTAAAAAATTTCGAAGACTGAACTGTGAAGTTTGCATTCTGCATGTGACTTCTGTGCACTGAGACCCTAGCCGACGGCTTGATAAATATCCGACTTTTCGTCTCCAAACGACAATGTCATAACTCCTCGAGGGAGAAAAACTACTCTTCACTATCTAATTGACAAAGTCTCAATACTTAAAACCATCACGCATAATATTTTCACATTCGCTGGCAATTCGTATCTTTTTCTCGGGCGTATCCTGACGGATGGATGAAGCAAACGCAGTGTGGAAGAAATTCAAGTTAAAAAGGGGAAAGTGAAAAAACAAAAAAATCTGAAACTTGAAGACACGCCAGGGGGATAAAATCGAAGAGAAGCATTTTGCATGACACGCGAACAAAACCCCGGGCCATTGTAAGGTGGCCCTATTGTGTGTATACTGTTGTAGCATATCCGAATGTTACAACGCATACCAAATAAATAATATTTCAGCATATCTTACCTTGCCCATATCCTTTACCCATAGCTCCAATCATTAAAGGAGTGAGAAATTGTGTTCGTCATCTTTATTTTTGCTAACGAATGGAATTTTTGTGATGATGTATTTTTAATTTAATTCAATGAATTTAAAAATGAAAACGTCCCCCTCATGGCAAATATTTTTTTCACGAACTAAAATTCTGGATTCTTTTTCCAAACTTACTATTTTTAATTACATTAACTTACATAAGTCTGTCTCCACTACGAATTTTCTTCATTTCGTCGGTTGAAGTATATGGAAGATCGTTATCATTTTCGCCTTCCGTATTCCTTTCACTTTTGTTGTGATTTTGCTCTGGATCATTATCATCTTCTAATAGGAAAATGAACATTATGCAATAAATACAATATATTTATAATGTGTATACTCTACGTTGGCTCGATGAATCCGAATTATTGTCCGGAATATCCATTTTTTATTATCACTTGAATTTTCCGTAGAAATGACGTATTGGGAATATGGTTAAAATTTTCTATTGCTTCAACTTCAAATTGATGGTAACAAATGGGAGTTGGAGGAGAAACAAATGTTCGCTCTGAAGTTGATTTCAATAAGGGGAGGGGGGTTGAGAGGCTTTGATTTTCTGGTGAATAATATCGAGACAAGGAAGTAGTTCCAATCATGTTGCGCGGGTTAGGTGACAAGCGTAGGATAGAATGCATGGAATAAAATAAAACGTTTTATGATCTTCTCTAAGTCCCAATATCTTTTTCGCCTAAAAAGGAAGATACCGGAGTTTGAAGGATCAAAAAACGTTCTACCCTCCCCTAGGAGTCGATTTTTTTCACATTAGATGAGATGTAAAAACACACGATATCCTCCTAGGAATAAATTCGGCATAGGAGCAGGTGATAGTAATGATGCGATATGTTGTATTAGGCTCACCCAGTGCTAATTCACTCAAGGCTGTTCTCATTATTTTCCGATGATACATTCAACCCGTTATCAGAAGGCTGTTTTTTCCACAGGCTGATCTGATAAAACATTCATATGACGAATAAAAAAATATTTCATTACGTATATATTAAATAGGTTCAAGTAGAGATAAGCTGTCAACTCACGTTTTGATTTCTGACAGAAACAATAGATCTAGTTGGTCAATTGGAGTAATGTACTTCAGAAGAGTTCGTGAAAATTCATTTTGGAACGGTTGGTTTCATATGAGGCTGTCGTTCCTTATTTTTTCTTCTTTCCGAACATTCCAATTCCTTTTAAGTGTATTTCCGTCAAATTATCGATATAATTCTTTGAATACAAACTTTTTCACTGTTTTCTTCTTACGTTGATTTCCGACGTAAACTTTTAATGATTTCCACGATCGTACTCGCGACAATGCAACGTAAAGTTGTCCGTGATTAAAAACATCTTTCCTCAAATCGATTCCAATTTTATCAAATGTTTGACCTTGTGATTTATTTATTGTTATTGCGAAAGCGATTTTAATGGGAAACTGTGATTTTAATGGGACGCTCTGATTTCGGATCAACATGACGATACAGAATTGTCTCAATCGTAGTTCATAAGGTGGTAAAGTAGCTGGGGCAAGAGTATTTAGATATTCTGGTAGCAAATCTAAATTAATTTCATCATTTCCATTGTAGTTTTCGGCACTATCTACACTCATATATATCCGTTCAGTATCAATATCAAGTAGTTCAACCACTTGTTTATTGATCGTCCACATCGATATTTCTAGCCGCCAGAATAGCACACCGAGTAGCTTGTTTGTATTTTTTCTCTCTTATTAATGAACCATAAATATTTTCTGCAATATCCGTATCTTCATAGTCGATGCAATCTTCTGGGAGTTCTACATTATCTTCATTATCATTCATACTACCATTTCCAATTTGTAATAAAAAATGAGAAAATTCAATTTCTTCAGGTAATGTTCGCATATTAGGAGTAAGATAAAATTTCTGGAAAAGTGGCCACAAGGAACTGTGCTTGATTGATAAATTGACCATTTCTCAACGTGTTCCCCCTATGTTCAGTGGTATAAGTTGACGGAAATCTCCACCCAATACCATGATTTTGCCGCCAAATGGTAGATTATTCCCCATCAGATCAGTTAACAGTCGATGGATTCCCTCTAATGCATAGCGAGGTGCCATTAGAGCTTCATCCCAAATCAAAACGTTCACATCTTGGAGTTTTTTGCGTCCTTCGTTCCTTTTTTTATTTGTGAAATTGAGTCCGCATACAAAGGAACCGATCAGCCGAATGTCTTATGAACCGTTTTACCGCATGGTAGTAATGTTGCGGCGATACCTGTGTAAGCTGTTGTAATTGCTGATTTTTTATTTCCCATCAGTAGATACCATAAGGTGATATATAAATACGTTTTTCCAGACCCTCCAGGTCCATCAATGTAGAACAATTTGTACTGATGAACCGACGGATTTTCTACACAACTTAAGATAATGTCAATCGTTTGCTTTTGGTACTCCTTTAATTTCGCGTAATATTTCAACCCTGTTTGCAGAAGATTTTCATAATAATTTTCATCCGGAATATCCAAATCAGTTACTTGAATTTGTGGCATCGTAGGGTAATCTCTTATATTTTTTCCTTCGTCTTCAAGAAAATGATAAATTTGTTGCAGCGCTTTTGTTTGGGCTTGACATACGGATAAATTTCGAATAAAATCCTCTGACATTGCAATCTTGAACTCTTCCCATAGTGTTTCTGGATATAGTGGATGACAATGGATCAAAATATGAACGAAAAGTCTACGAAGTTGCAGAGGCATCATCCACACTTCCGCTTCATGCATTGCTCTACTCCATTCTTGATCATCGGCTACTAAACCAAGCTCTATGCATGCGTCGGTGAATGATGTACGTAATACTCCATTAATCGTTCGTAAATCCTCAAAACTTGTTGCTCCTTTAACCGTCAATAATAGTAATCTCAAATGATATAATTCCACTTGCGATGGATCGACTGAATACATTCTACCAATTGTATTAAAGTGTCCTTTTCGTTTAGTCCAATGAAAAACATCTCGATTATTTATTTTAGTTTTTCTGAATGTGTAATATGATGAAATGTCCACACACAGATATTTTCTAGCATCCTTGTCACGTGCGTTCAATGCAAAGTAATCGATAAGCATATTCTTTTGTTCTGCAATGTTATCCATAGTAATTTCTTCACCTCCGGGATTTATAGTTATATTTTGCTGTTGTGGAAGATGGACCGGCAAACGGAGAACGGCGTGACTTTTTTTATGTAGTTTTTTATTCAAAATCCTATAGGCAGCTTCTACTGGGCCAACATATCGTGCCTCTATATGCTCATTAATTTCATCATAGATAACTTCGTTAACATTCCTCGCAGTTCCTTGCATTGTGACAGTTGCTGCATCATGTCCTTTATAAATATACTTGAACAAATATTTTACGGATTTTATACTTGAGACTACCTCGACATTGCAATGACAATTGAATTTGAGTAATAAATTTGGGGAAAATGAAACAACATATCGATTGTCCACTACATATCCTTTCGGTCGATGGTGATATTTCCCAGTATTTCGTCGCTTATACAATGGATAACCATCTTCATCCATAATCGTTTCGGAATTGAAGGGTTTTGGAAATTTTTTGGAACATTTTCCATCTTTGAGTCACCAATCCCCACATGGACCATGTATCATGTTTTGCATTATTATGCGGTATAGTTTTTTATTCTTCTTAGGATCGGGTATCTCAGCAGAAATCATTCTATCTACAACTTCCGGGCAGGTTATTTTATAATTTCTCTGCAGTGTGACCCATAAATGTACATGAGGTAAACCTCGTTTTTGAAATTCAATTACGTAAATAAATGCTTGAACTTTTCCACAAAGATCTTCTTTAGTGATCATTTCTAAGAGAGCATCTACTTTGAGATTGAAAACACGTGCAACAATATCGGGTCGATCACAAGAAAGTCGTCCTTCTACATTTTCATAAATTTCCCTCCAATGTGGGTTACACGTCAAAGTTATAAAGGCTTCCCAAATTTCCGTACAACGGCCATAGCATCTTGCTAATTTTGAACGATCCAATGAACGTTGAAGGTAAAATAGTTATCCTTCCAACTGTACTGTTTAAACGCTGCGCCGTATCTCTCATATGATCGTTGACTCCTTGATAACTACCCACTTTGAGTTCTTCTTGATGTGTTCGACAATATTCAATTCTATCTCGTTCAATTTTCACATAATTATCAACGATCCACTGTTGGAATAATCGACCCCCACAATGAAAAGGATTGAATGAATCTCGGAGTGCAATCAAATTTTTTATGTACGCCGAACGTCAAATTCGTTTAGAACTACGCAGACGATGTAAATCTTTATGCCAACCATCCGTTCCATAAGGATAGAAGAGTGGATAAACCCATGGTTCAACTCTGGGATTCATCGAACTGACACATTCCAATTCGTTTGTAGACTGATTCTTGACTGTCACGTAAGTATCTGGAATACCACCATCTGCAGTGGGGGTGGAAATAGCAGCTACTTCATTACAACGTTGAGGATTACAATGACCTGCTTCTACACCGCGTTTTGGAATGAAAACCATTTTCACTTCTGGCATTGGTTGTCCACTCCTCTCTGACTTCAATTCCAATTTTTCAATTTCTTCCCTCATCATTTGATAGGATTTCGCAAAAGAATTCACTTTTCGAATTATTCTATCAAGTATTCGTAATAGAGTACAATTTAAATCGGGATTATATTCAATTCGGTTCCTATTTGCTTCGGAAGGATCCATAATGAATAACTGTCCAAAGGATGCGATTTGGTTCAGTTCTGGCAGTATTGCAGTATTTATTTGCTAATAAATATTTCCTCTGATTTTAACACAGTATGGTCCTGGTCGTCTTCCATTGAAATTCACCAAATTGGCAATAAACGAAGCAAATGATAGAGAAGTATTATAACTTCGAATATCATTCAAGAAATCTATTGAATACTCATGAGAACCATCAAATAAGGAACGAAGTTCGCTCGGGAATTGATTGAAAGAGGCCACTGGAACAGCACCATGACTGCAACAATCATTGAATGATTTTTTTCCATGTGATACAATTTCGCCCTTGAAGTGGTTAGCTTGACAATAACAACATCGATTATCCATTGGTCCGAGATAATTCTCTTGCATACTATTATTCTGCGCTCTTTTTTCTTCTGCCGTCATTTCTCTCCATTTTCTTACACGCTCAGAAATCGACATTGGTTCTCTTTTGAACTGTCGTCGTCTGTGACGTCTCCTGCGTTGTGCTTCATTTTTTTGTTCTCTTTGCCTCTGTTTAAAATTTCGCTGCATTTCTGGATTTCGAACTGCTCTTCGTTGTGACATCTCGATTTAACAGAATCATATAATTATAACCGAGATATAGCATAAAATATTACAAGAAGAGAAGGAATACCTTTAAGAGAGAAAGGATAAGTCCATACGAATACTGCTGAACAATGCACTTTTACCACAAAAGCATCATCTTTTAAAAGAATTTACAGATTTATGTTACGTACTGTAGGAGATCTGCAATACCAACAGGTAGAATTTTGACGGAAGATAAGAAGGGTTAACGACATAATATTCAACTTTGATATGTGCCTAATTTCATATTCATCGTGTCATCTTCATTCATCTTTTCTCTTTTTTTTTACTCTCTTTTTTTTTTATTCGATTCGAAGTACACACGTAGAGGTCATCATCACTAAAAAACTAAAAAATTATTAAGCGTTGCCCGAACAGCTATCAATGTCGATCTACGAAGATGAGAAAACTGAGATGATTTGTTGTTTATGTTAATTTACAGGTTTTAATTTTGAGGGATGCAGTTCTTCATGGAGAGAATTCATTCCCTGATTATAATTTCCACCCAGAATTGCTCCGTTATCGCCGAGTCAGTCGGTTTGAATGGCGTATCAATGAATTATGGCAAATTGAAAATTAATGTCAAAAAGAAAAAGAATCAAACAACAAACTTTAATATGGTAATTTTTGAAAATTAATATTACCATACTGACAATATTTGTTATACCATATTATACCATATACACTATACTATATATATATGCTATATTGTATAATACAATATAGCATTGTATTATACAATGCTTGAATAGCGGAATAGAGGCTTCAGAATTCATTACACTGGATTTTTTAAAAGTGGATTAATCAACAGTGCTCATGGAAATAGTATCCTATATCATAAGGCGATAAAAGTATTATCTGGCGAATGTGGCTTTATGATCTCGCCTTCGGCTCGGATTATAATCACATTCGCCAGATAATGCTTTTATCGCCGTGTGATATACGCTATTTTATGTCGTTGGGCCTGAAAACCGCGATCTAATTGAGCGAAGCGAGGTTAGAATCGCGTTTTATCGGGCCTAATGACGTAAATGTAAATTTCGCTGTGAGACAGAGGGTTTGCTTTCTGTACGATTGCGCACCACAATACTTTGCTCGATCTGTCAGGGATTATCTAAACATTCTTTTCCCCATCCGGTGGATGAATTATGGTGGTCTTGTTCAGTGGCCTTCTCGATCTCCTGATCTCACGATCCTCGATTTTTATCTATGGGTTCACATTAAAGATTCAATCTAATCGACACAATACCCGCAGATCAACGGCGCATCAGAAATGAAATCATGAACATTCCACCTGACGTACTTCCTTCGGTCATGAGGAACTTTCAACGTCAGCATAGAAGCTGTAATAATGCCTGAATGAAGATAGTTCTAGCATTTCCGATTTTTGTACGATATCTCATCGAAAATCGATGACGTCGTCGTGAAATATGGAATGATTGAATTTTTCTCGACAAGACAAACAAGTTTTTTGGGAATGAAAAATGTTGTTCCTATTTAGAAAAATTGACTCTATGCTCGTCACATAGAAATAAACTATGGGGGCCTGG